AATCGATGTTGTAGACCTATTTTATTGAGTTGGTCACTGATTTGTTTATCTGCAATTTCTAATTCCACTGCTCCAATGACGACTGAGTAACTTGTTGAGGGGGATGATGTTGGTGTTTTGGTATTCGCTGATATTTCTTTATAGTTGCTGATTTTCTTGAATGCTACCATCCTTTGTAGAATTTCGATGATTTTTCCTTTTTCTTGATTGGTTTTAAGAAGTATTCCAGTTTTTGTTTTCAGTATCTCATCTTCCTTTTCTGGGCATAAATTTTCCCATAGTTGACAGAATGCGATTCTGGTCCACCCTGTATCTGTATTAAGGTGGAATAGATGGTTGTAGTTTTTGTGTGGATATCGTTGAGTAGTTGGTTGTTGGTTTTTTGTGGGATTGATGGTTTTTTGTTGGAGTGCTGTAGATAAGGGATTGTTGTTTTTTGCTGTTTCACTAATTGCTGTGGTCTGATCTTTATCTGTGTGTTGATTTCTTGCCTCTGTTATAGCATGGGAAGTTGAGCCTAATATTATGTTATTGATCTCCTCTTGAGTTAACGCTTTTGGTTTTTTTGTGGTGCTTTCTTGCTTACTTTTCAAACTCCTTTTGTGTCTTACTTTTTTCCACTGTCCATCATCACATATCTCCATTTCGCTATAATTGCCGTCACTATACTAACTATAATATCTACTGCTGCTTATAATTTGATGTTCACTCTTTGAAGGCTAGAGTGGAACTGTCCCTGTTTATATAAATTTCCCAAAAGGAATGAAAGCATATCCAGGGAAAATATTGAAATTGAAAAAATCTCTTTATGGTTTAAAAGAATCATCAAGGTGTTGGAATGATGAGATAAATGTATTTTTGTTAACATAGGATTTGAAAGATCTGAAGATGATTTTTGTTTGTACTACATGGATTCAAATGCAGGTAGAGTGTATCTCTTACTCTATGTGGATGATATCATATTGTCAGGACCAAAGTTGGATTATCTGAATACAATTATTTCAAAACTAATGAATCGTTTTGAGATAAAGAACAAAGGGCATTTGAGACATTTTCTTGGTTTGGAAATTGAGTATAATAGAGAAAAAGGAATATTGAAAATATTACAAACTAATTATATAAAGACAATATTGTGTAAATTTGGCATGGAGAATTGTAAGGGAGTGAACACACCAATAGAACAAAAATTGAAATTGAATATCTGTCTTGAAAAAGTTAATTTAACAGAAACCATTTAGGCAGCTAGTGGGTTGTCTAATGTATCTAATGTTGGGTTCACGACCAGATATAAGTTTTGCTCTGAATTATTTTAGCAGTTTTCAAGATAAGGCCACAGATGAAATCTGGAAACACTTGTTGAGAATTACGAGATATTTGAGAAACACCATGTATGAGGGGTTGGAATATAAAAGAACAGATAAGTTAGATTTTGTTTGTTATGTAGATGCCGATTGGGGCAATAATTTACAGGATAGGAAATCAGTGACTGGATTCATTTTCAAAATATTGGATAATACAATACATTGGGTAACCAGAAAACAAAATTGTGTCACACTCTCAACCACAGAGGCTGAGTTAGTAGCTCTTAGCAGTTCTGTTAGTGAAGGTCTCTGGTTTAAAAAGATTTTACTTGATTTCAAATTCGATACAGGGAAAATAGTATTTTTTGAAGACAATCAGGGTTGTATAGCTCTAGTGAACAATCCAGGAAATAATCAAAGGGTAAAACATGTAGATATTAAGTATTGTTTTATATATGATAATATAGAAAAAGGATATGTAGATGTTAGGTATATAGTGAGACCAATGATCACCTACGGAGCAGTAGTGTGGCACGGCAGAACCGAACTCGCCACTACAAGGAAAATATTAGAGAAGGTGCAAAGACTGGCATGTCTTTGCATAACAGGAGCAATGAGATCAGCTCCAACAGCAGCACTAGAGGTCATTTTGGATCTCACACCTCTACACATCGTGGTGAGGAGAACTGCCTATGGAGCACATCTCAGGTTAGCCAAGGTCGGACTAAGAGGGAAAACGCACAGTGTATGGGGCTCACCCCCCACTGAGATCGCACACCTCGCCGATCTTCCAACAGACCAAATCATTAGGAAGTTCAGTTTTGAGAAGAACTTCCGAGTGGAGCTGAGCAACAAGCGCGAATGGAGCACAGAATCCATCGAATCACTGGGAAGGAATACCATTACTTGGTATACGGACGGGTCTAAAACACCCGAGGGAACTGGAGCAGGAGTCTTTGGGCCTCGCACCAAATACTTCGAATCCATGGGACAATTCCCCAGCATTTTTCAAGCGGAAATACACGCCATAGGAAGATGCATCCAGTTCAACCTAGACAGGAAATACCGGAAGAAGGACATCGCGATTTTATCCGATAGCCAAGCAGCCATCAAAGCGTTGAGCTCTCCTTACATCAACTCGAAGATGGTATGGGAATGCCTAAGCAAATTGAATGAGCTAGGCAGCAACAATAAAGTTACCCTCCTCTGGGTGCCAGGGCATATCGGAGTGGAGGGGAATGAACACGCAGACGCTCTGGCACGACAAGGGGCTTCAACGCCACTGATCGGACCAGAGCCATTCTGCGGCCTTGGAAATTCCTATTTCCAAGGAGAACTTGAGAAGGCGGAAGGAGCCTGGAGAGCCAGGCAATGGAGAAGACTTCCAGGACTACGGCAGGCTAAAGATCTCCTTGGAAATTTCAACCGAGAAAGATCTAAGACACTGACAAACCTCAGCAAAGGAAGTCTCAAAGCAATAACGGGATTTCTAACGGGACATTGCAGACTCAAAGAACACCTAAGGAAGCTAGGCTTACAGGAGGACGGCACCTGCAGATTCTGTGAGGAAGAACCAGAAACACCCCATCACATACTGATGGAGTGTGACGCTGTACATCACAAAAGATTGAATATACTGGGAACACACCAGCTGACTGTGGAAGAAATACCACAGCTAGACCCCCTCAAAATCCTCAAATTCCTGAAGGAATTGAATCTCGAGGGGCTGCTATGAACAAGAAATTCTTGATATAGCAGGAGCAGATGGGGCACAATAGATCTAATTGGGTCGCAGCGCATCTGTCACCATCCAACCTACCAATACCAATAGGTATATAGAGTCAAAATATCAACAGGCTGATATTTTAACTAAGGGACTGTCCTATGATTTATTCCAACATTTTAAGTTTCTTATTGGTGTAAGGGATTTTAGCGAGGGGGGCTGTTAGATATACCCTAAAATCCTACCTAAAGTGTGGCAACACTGATGAGATGTCAGCTGTCATAAGTCTATGTCGTTAGCTTCTTGTGTGTCTGTGCTTGATGGATACAGAAAGTGGTGGTTGTATGATAGATCCATGATGAAAGAATTATGAATAGAAAGTAAAGAAACAAATGATGTATTTAATGGTTTTACTGGGATAAATAAATAAAACTACGAATAAACCTGGATTTATTAATGAAAAACCTAAAAAATAAGGCATATCTATAAATCTTTCCTTGTTTTCTTTGTTCAAAAAGTAGAGCAAAAACCTAGATAATAGGGTAATCAATAAGCCTAATATAAGCACTACATTTTGACTATATCAGATCATCAGAGAAAGTACAATGTCAGTGTGAAATTAATGTCCCATTTCTTCTTTTGTGTGTGTATAATTCAGGTTAGTTTAGGCCCTTACTTTGTCAACAAGATTGTATCTTTGGACAATGGGATGGTTATTGAGCTTACTATCAATTCTAACACTTTACCTTATAAAATTATCATAAAATATACTTTTGATAGAAATGCATGATGTATAGTGAATAAAGCATATATCAACAAATTGTTTCCTGTTTTTTTGTTTGAAATGTTGAACAGAAAATTCAAAAATAGGGTAATTAATTAGCCTAAAATTAGCCTTTCAATATCAATATATCAAATCAATGAAAAATATAATATTTTTAAAAATGGCTCTGCTGAGTTCCCAGGAAGCCAGCAAAGCCACAGGTTTGTTTTAAAAAATATGCAGTGGAAAATTCCAAAATTCAATAGTTATTGAGCTTATAATCAATACTAACACTTTGTCTTGAAACATCATCATAAAATATGCTTTTCATAGAAATACATAATGTACAGTGAATGATGGGTATTTTGACAAATGGTCTTGTATTTTTTCTGTTTGAAACATTGAGCAAAAAATTCGATAGGGTAATTAATTAGCCCAAAATTAGCCCTTCAATCTCAATATGTCAAATTGGTGAAAAATCTATGTGTTCAAAAATGGCTCTGCTGAGTTGGGCAGAAGCTAGCAAAGCCACAGATTAGGGAGGAGCAAAAAATTCGGAAAGGGGGTAATAAATTGGCCTAAAATAAGCCTAAAATTATGAGATGCCTCATGTTGAAATTCAAAAGTGGCTTTGCTAGCTTCTTTGGTATCTGGAATACATTGAAATACTGCAAACCACTACTGTAATAGATTTTTCTTTTAGGCTCCTTGATAAAAACAAAGTAATACTCAAATTTTCATTTCATAGAAATGTGGAGAAAATCCCAAATAATCAAAATAGTGTATTGGGGTCAGAGCGCTTGGGTCTGTAGTATTTTTGTATTGGGGTTCAAGCACTGGGATCAGCTGCTTATTGGTATTTCTCTTCATCGTAACGTCAAGGATGCTAGTTCAGTCCTTGGGAGATCCACCTTTTTTCAATTATATTTTTGTCTCAAGAAATTATTCCCATTGAAGGTTCTTTTTGGCCATATAAGGTTAGTTTGTTTGAAAAATGTAGTATCCTTTTTTCAGTTGGAATATCATCTGCAGAAATACTCAGATCAAGCAGCAAATCCGAGTGCTCAACCCCAATACAAATAGACCCTGGATGGGAGCTCTCCTACCCCTGGGACCCCAATACACTCCCAATAATCAAATAAAATGAATGTACTACCTATGAACAGACCATGACTTTCTCACCATGTATTATTAAATGTTAGGTGAAACATACCTTTGATCATCACCTTTGGATCTAGATCTGTGGAAGTAGTTGTTTCAGTCTCCTTTTCTTGGGTGCTTTCTTCATAATTATTTTCATCTTCAGCTGAAGCTTTGCGTTTCTTTCCTTTTGAGCCATCATCTTTTTCATCACTGATATTGTGAAAGTTGGGAGAGGATTGTTCATTCTCATTGGGTTTTACTTCTGTAGTTTCTTGTATTTCCTCTTTGACAACTATAAGGTTAGACTCACCATTCGAATTTGGCGCGTTTTCAGTAGAAACAATTTCTGAACTAGAGGTAGCTTCACTATCTGCTGGTGTCAAAGATTTAGACCTACCTCTCGTTTTTCTAGCACTCTCCATATCATTGATGGCAAAATCGAAAACTGATATAAAACATCAGGTCAGAGATAATCTCTGATCAGGTACAACCGTCCAACAAAAATGTGAATTCTGGAATACTCTTTCACCACAACACCATGAACATTGATAAAGTTTGGCAAAACTTCTCTGGATGATTAAAAATGAGTGGAAATTATGAAAAACTATATTTCCATATTGATTTTACTTCCAGCAAAGGAACCAACAGATGAAAAACCAAAGCCAGAAGCCAGGGCCAGAAGGAAGAATTATTTTCTCTACCAAAGGTAAACCAAACACCACAAACCGGGCACAAACACTAAAACCAAAGCCAAACGCACAAGGCAAGGCAAGTGTCAACTGTCAAGACTGTCAAGACTGTCAAGACTGTCAAGACTGTCAAGACTGTCAAGACTGTCAAGTGTGCCGCAGTGTTGCGCAATGAAAACTGAAAAGCTTCAAGACAAATACGACTTAGCTATTGAAAAAATCATATCTTATGTTGAAAACGGGAGCAGAATCGTATGAAGGTGTAGAGAGGCCATCAACTTATTTTCATTTCAATTCCGAGTTGTAACTCGGAATTCCGAATTGTAACTTGGAATTCCGACTTCACTCGGAATTCCGACTTGTAACTCGGAATTCCGAAAATGCTGACTGTTGTACCCAAAATACCTACAAATTCAAAAAGGAATTATATGATTTCACATTCATCATTGTCACAATTACTTGATCATTTCATAAAGTGGTTCCAGGTTCCATCATCAGCACTTTAACATTTGCACCAATAGCTCATTTTTGTAGAAACTTCACTTCTGCTGAAGTAAAAGTTCAGGCTCAGGCATCACAACTTCAGCGGAATTCTGAGTTACAAGTCGGGATTCCGAGTTACAACTCTGAATTCCGAGTTACTAGTCAGAATTCCGAGTTGCAACTCGGAATTCTGGGTTACAAATCGGAATTCCGAGTTACAAGTCGGAATTTCGAGTTACAAGTCGAAAATCCGAGTTACAACTCGGAATTGAAATAAAAATAAGTTGATGGCCTCCCTACGCCTTCGTAATAACCTCCTGATAATCCTGGGATTTACCTGCTACTAAGATGCCTCCTGCTACCTACTATTATTTGAGCGATTGGCAAGAGACATTTATACGAAGTTACGGTCCCTTGATGGAAATTGACGTCAAAGTCTTCTTAACAGGTTACGGACAGATCCTCGTCTCCTCTCACTCTAAAGCGTTTGTGAAACAGTTATATAGATCCATCCTCATTCAATTCTGGGGATAAACACTAGATTTTTGACATTCGTTGTTTTTCTAGGTTATATTGAGGTCACTGGTGTATCATACGTAATTTCCATATGGAATTCCTGAAGAGATATATAGATGAACAATCCTCTAGTTTTAGAGTTTACTACTTCAGCATAATTTTGCGAGGTAGGGAATATATAGATAGATAGATAGATAGGTAGATAGATAGATAGATTGATAGATCTTTATTTAACTACGTGAGTACGTGATGTATAAAACATTTGTAGCAAGTCAGATAGCAATAAGTAGATACAAAAAGTACTGTACAATAATCACGAAATAAATAAAATAACAATAATATTAAAAAAAAATAATATGTGTACATTACACCATACCATACACATATAGTAGACACAATAATTATTGGGACATATAACATGAGTATTTGAGCATATAAATATATGTGTTTCAGTTTTACAAATCACATCCTGGGTGGGTCAGCCATATACTCAGCAATACTGTAGTAGCATTTTTCCTGCAATATCACTTTGACAGTTTTTAAATGTCGATTGATTTTCATGCTTTAGTGTTGCAGGAAGTATATTGTAAAGATCAACAATCATTGAGTTTTTGAATGACTTGTTGTATTTAAATCTTCGAGACCTGATCAAATTTGCATTGCGTGTGTTATGATCATGGTAATATAAATTGTTCTGAAAGCTTATAATATATTTCACCAAGAGAGACTGTTCTTAGACTGTATACCAGGGTTGAGGGTTGACTGAATTTACTGAATGAATTCTGATTTCAAGCTGAGCAGTATAGTTTATCTATGAGCTGAATGGGCAGAGCCTTTTATGATTGAGAAATGGTGGGAACCTCGATGTGGGTATCTAGACTACTGTATTCATGTCATGTGTGCTAAATATATTTTCGGAAATCCAACTCGGAGAAGAATTTAAGGAGTTACTAATATCACACTATGTATAAGACTTCGTCTAAGACGAAAAGTAGGCTGATAAAAGTAATACTTTAAATATGTAGGAGAATATAGAATAGAAAATGCTTACCTGATTTTTCCGTCTCCTTGAATAAAAAGTAATTTTCGAATAATTTATTGATGAAAGTAATAACAAAGAAGAAGGTATACGCAGTACGCAGTATAACTTATAGGCACGTTATATTCACTCTTGCATCCTACATATTTTCTATTTGTGGTAGAGTAATGATTATATAAACTAATGTCTTTCGCCATATTGGATCCGTCATCTTGAATTTTCCAATTTTTACGAAACAATCATTATCTCCTACCCCAAAAATCCCCAGATACCAATTTTGAACAGAATCGGATCTTTATTACAAAACTCGTCCACCATATATTGGATCCGCCATCTTGAATATCCCAAATTTTGACGAAATATAATTATAATCTCCGACCCCGAAAATCCCCAGATACCAATTTCGATTTTTTAATAAAATCGAATCATAATTACAAATTTCGTTCGCCATATTGGATCCGCTATCTTGAATTTCCCAATTTTGACAAAAAATCATGAAGTTCGACCCCGAAAACCCTCAGATATCAATTTCAAATAAGAAGCAGATCATAATTAGAAATTTATTTCGCTATATATTGGATTCGTCATCTTGAGTTTTCCAATTTTGACGAACCAATCATTATCTCCAACCCCGGAAAACCCTAGATATCTTCCAATTTCAAATAGATTCGGATCATAATTACAAAACTCGTTCACAATATTATGACCTTCCTCAACAAGTAAATACCCTGTACATACCTATAATTAAAATCTAGAATGATTTTCTGTAGCGCCCATGGATGTGACGTGACAGCAATATCAGAGATGCCAGTAGAGAAAACTAAAATACCCTATACGAAGTGGACTTCAGTCAAGGATGTTTGACTTTTCAGTAGCGTACAGAGACTGCATTTAACACTGTACAGTAGCGCTAGCGCGAGCGCGATCTAGTGGACATTCAAAATGTTGGCCAACCTGATTGGGAGATGTCAACTGTCAATCAATCATCAATCAATCAATCAACTATCAACTGATGTTTATGTTGTTGCATGTTGTAGTTGTTCAATGTTGTAGTTGTTCAATGTTGTATTTTGTATTGTTGATATGTTGATTTTGAAACAACAATCCGTGAATCGTGAATCATATCAGTGATTCGAGATAGAGAAGAATAGAATCGAACAATCAAGATATTCGAAATGGAGTGGCTATTTGGAAAGAAGGTGACGCCAGAAGAGCTTCTTCGTAAAAACCAAAGAGCTCTCAATAAGGCTATGCGAGATCTAGATAGAGAAAAGCAGAAGATGGAACAGCAAGAAAAAAAAATTATAAATGATATAAAAAAATTGGCCAAGGAAGGGCAAATGGTAAATTTTTCAATTCCTCATTTAACTGTTGATGTTAGGATACTTATTATAGGATGCAGTGAAGATAATGGCTAAAGACCTTGTTCGAACTCGTAGATATGTTAAGAAATTCATGTTGATGAAAGCAAATATCCAAGCTGTATCTCTCAAAATACAAACACTGAGATCTCAAAACACTATGGCACAAGCAATGAAAGGTGTTACAAAAGCCATGGCAAGTATGAATAGGCAATTAAATCTTCCACAAATTCAAAGAATACTACAAGAGTTCGAGAAACAATCGGAAATCATGGATATGAAGGAGGAAGTTATGAATGATGCTATTGATGATGCTATGGAAGGTGATGATGATGAGGAAGAAAGGTAAACATACCTATTATATAATCATGAAAGTGCATAAAACTGCCTCCAGTCAGCAGACTATCCTTCTTTTAGACACACTAACCTATTTGTTGGTACAAATAAGGGTTTTCTCCTGTTTTCCCAAGTAGGTAATCATCCAAAAAGTGTGTACACTAAAGTTCCCATGGGGTAAAACTTATCAAACTCCCTCAATTGTGCTCAAAATTCTGGGAACATCCTCATGATTTCTCAAACTTCCTCTGTTTCAAATGCCAAGACTTCCTCAAACTTCTAGAGACTTTCTCGGATGACACTACTATTCTATGGCATGAAAATAATGCAGATGCACTAGAAGAAAAAATCCAAGTAGACATTAAAGTATTAAAAAGTTGGTGTGACTCAAATCGTCTTGCTCTAAATGTAACAAAAACCAACATAATATCCTTCAGGTGTGAAATAATCAATATTGAACTAGATAATGGCCTCATTGAAAGCTGCAATAAGACTAAATTTTTAGGGGTTTTTATCGATAATAAATTGAAATTTGAACAACATGTTTTGAACTTGAATAAGAAATTGGCCTCTGGTTGTTTCGCTGTGAGAACAGTAACAAAGGAACTTGGACCCTCAGCTGCAAAATTAGTCTACCATGCATTGATAGAGTCTCACCTGAGATACGGTATTCCTTTCTGGGGAGTATGTAATAATAACCTCATGCTAAGTATACTGGTACTGCAAAAACGCTCGATTAGATATATGTCCAAAGTTAAAATGCGTGTTTCCTGTAAACCGCTGTTTGTATCGCATAAATTACTAACTGTTATTGCAATCTTCATCCTTGAATCAGTATATCTCATCAAAAAACACATCCATAAATTTAATACTACTCCTTCCTATTACTCTACCCGTAAGCATAACAGTATAAACTTACCAATACCAAGTTCTTCTCTAGTAAAGGATTCACTCATTTATAATGGATGCAAGATGTTCAATCATTTGCCCGACTATATAAGAGATATCACCCACATTGACCATTTTAAAAAAGCTGTCCATTTGCTATTATCAGATCGGCCTTACTATAGTTTGGAGGAATTTTATTCTGATCAATTCTAATTATATGTACCCTTTGCTAATGTAAGAGTCTTTTTAATGTCTGTTTTATATTTTTAGTTTTTTATTTACACTTTTAACTCTACATATGTGCTTTGTCCATAAGAATGTATCTTTTCTTCATGACAATAAAGTATATTCTCTCTCTCTCTCTCTCTCTCTCAAACTTCTGGAGATTTTCTCAAACTTCCTTAAACAATAGAATAGATTAGAAAGAATGATTATTGCCCTCCCATAAGTACAACACAATAATATAGTAAGTGGCACAAATGGTAATTTGTATTTAATATCTTCCATGCTACTGAAACTTTCTTATAACCTACTTGTTAATAGTGAGGACCAGAGTCACCCCTCTCCCCAGCCCTTCTTGTAGATGCTTTATTTCAAATTTGCAAAAAATGAACCTACTTCCTTAATTTACTGCAAACTTTCTCAAAATTTCTGGAACCTGTAAACTAAACTACTAGTGATTATCACCTCATATTTTCCTAAATCAATATTTTTATTAGAAACAATCCAAGAGTTATTCAGCTTCTACCGAGGCTTCTACCTATGAACATTTTGATGTTCTGATTTTTTTTAAATGTCAAATAGGTGTCTTGATGGGTGAATCTGTGTGAGATTATGATTCTTTCCTCAAATGTTTTAAATTCAAGATGACGGATCCAATATGGCGGACGAGTTTTGTAATTATGGTCAGATTCCATTCAAAATTGGCGGACTAGTTTTGTAATTATGGTCAGATTCTATTCAAAATTGGTATCTGGAGGTTTTTAGAGGTCGGATATATGAATCATTTGTCAAAATGGGAAAATTCAAAATGGCGGATCCAATATGGAGGACGAGTTTTTTAATTATGATCAGATTCTATGCAAAATTAGTATCGGGGGGGGGGGGGTTTCGGAGTTAGAGATAATGATTCTTCCATCAAAATTTGGAAATGCAAGATGGCAGATTAAATATGCCAGACGAGTTTGGTAACTATGATACGATCTCATTCCAAATTTGTATCTGGGGGATTTTGGGATCGGAGATTATGATTCTTCATCAAAATTAGTAAATTAAAGATGGAGGATCCAATATGGCATTCGACTTTTGTAATTATGATCCGATTCTATTCAAGATTTGAATCTGGGTGTTTTCGGGGTCGGAGAAGAATTAGAAAACAAAATAAAGAGTAGGTTAGGTTAGGTTAGGTTCCATGTGAGTGGGGCGAACACCTCCCCTCCACTGCGACCCCAGATGGGTCTATTGTGGCTCACCCCTAGAGGTTACAGTTCACCGTACAATACACATCTTTTTACAAAGTTCATGGTTGAATTGGGTGAGATTTGTCTGAAATCGATAGGTTCTAGGTTGGTAAAGCCAAATGTGTCGAACCTTAGTCTTTCTAAGCTAGAGCATGAACATAATATGTGTTCAGCCGTTTCGTCTTCCACACAACAGAACCGACAGTCCGTTTGTTGGTTCAGACCCATCCTTCCCAGGTGGTATCTTAGACGACAGTGTCCCATAAGCAGTCCAGTCAGAATTCGCAGGTTATCCCTGCTCCATTCTAGGATCTGTCTGGTTATTTTTTCCGATGGTTTAGGCAGGAACGCCTTCGAATGGGTTAATCCTGGTAATTCGGACCAGTATGTGAGTGTTTTTCCCTCCGCCCAGCCCGAGATAGTTGTTTTCGCCGCACTTGCGGTGACCCCAAAATATGGTTCTGGTCCTATGAACACAGATTCGGTTCCCTGTTTGGCGAGGATGTCGGCTTTCTCGTTACCCTCCACCCCCTGGTGTCCAGGCACCCACAGCAAAGTGACTCTGTTGTTAGCACCCAGGCTTTCTAGGGATTCAATGCAGCTCCATACAAGCTTGGAATTTATCTTGCTGGAGCTCAGTGCTTTAAGAGCAGCCTGACTGTCTGATACAATACTGATATTTTTGTTTACTAGAGGTTTATTCGACAACTCTCTAGCACACAATGCAATTGCGAATACCTCCGCCTGAAAGATTGTAGCATATTTGCCGAGATTGACGGAAATTTCCGTCTTCGGTTTTCTGCTGAACACACCGGCTCCCACTCCACGAGGGGTTTTCGAACCATATGTGTACATTACGTGTTCGGTCTCTGGGAATCGGACTGATCCGCTTGCCCATTCGTCTCTCTTCGGGAAGAGGACTTTGAAAGACTTTTTCACGTGTGTCTGAGTGGCCAACATGTCGGAAACCATTCCTAGAGTTTGGTGATTTTTTTGTTTCACACAGTATCCCGGAGTGGTCCAGCAGTCGCCCCCCTCTGATTTGATTTTCCAATGACAGGAATCTGTAGGAAACCATCCTGGCTTCCCTCTCCAAATAAAGAGTATGTTGATAAATATTTAACTAAAAGAATATTTTCTAGAAATAATTGTATATAGCAAAACAACGTTTGCTGGGTATCAACTATTGTAATAAATATTAGTTTGAAAAACTAATGAAACATCTTTTTATCGATAGCCAAACTAAAAAGAAGTGAGTAGAAAATAAAGAGTAGTTTGAAAAAATGAAGAGGTATAGAGTACCGAACTAAAAAGAAGTAGAAAATAAATAGAGTAGTTTGAAAAACTAAAGAATCCCGCTTTTATTGATTTACAAACTAAAAAGAAGTATAAATAAAATAATGAAAGTTTTCTGATAAATATTTATCTAAAATTTTTTTTCTAGAAATAATGTTTATGTCAAAACAACGTTTGCCGGGTCAGCTAGTATAATATATGAAGTTATCTATATCAAATGCAAAATTTCTCATATCCTGTGAACAATCTTCTATATATTTTAATGCGACAAAATCTCAATATATATTAGTTTGCCTCGCGCCTCTCTGTTCATAATAATTATTAATATATATTTATAATATATTCACTGCATTTATATAGAAAAATGTCAATATCAGATGCACAAATTTTATATATGACGAAATCTTTATACATTTGTGTGTCAGGAAAGTTTATATTTGCGTGTTCTGTGGAGTTCCAATAGATGGCCACACGGTTGCCAACTTCCCAGTCGTCTGTCCCGAATACCATGTTCATGATGCATTGAAAATATGCCGCTTTGGAAGTAATGATAATGAAGTATGTAAATATTCATAAAATAATTGTTATTTGTAACTTATCCCCGTCAAGACTTACCCATGCAGAGATTTTGGAATATACTAATTGTTTTGGAATATGACAAAGAATAGGTAGGTAGTTTCTCAATTTTGTTTTTGATGTATCATGAAATCATATAATATTTTATTTTCGACAGTGAAGATATGTTCCATCAATTCTCATAAACTATGAACCACTGTGAATACTTCAAGCTCAATATTTACCGAAAGATTAGCACTTTTATATAAATTCACTTCTCAATAATGTTCCGCTTGAGGAAAGATTTCATCAGGCAACCCTGTTCCAGACGACCGGAGAGAGTAGACATGGTGGAGACCTAGGAGAATAGAAATATTATAGGCAAGACCTTCGTGTGAAATGAGATTTGTGGAATTTATAAATCTGGAAAGAAAAATGATAATTGATTTGATTATCTAATTGAGTTAGAAAGTCTGAGCAGTATGTGAGGAGGATCCCGTCACATAGTAGGTAGGTACACACAAAATAAGTAGAATACGCCGATTATTGAAATACATAGGTAAATATTTGTTTCAGCACAAGATTTACATTTAATTTTTTCTCCAAATTCGTTTCAATTTCACGTAAAGTCTAAATAATCCAAATTATTACTTGGAACGTTGCATATCAACAAAAGTCATCAACAAGCCACTTTTAATGTCATGTTGTGAAAAAATGTATTTTCATCAGGATTGAGGAGTACAAACACACAACAAAATATGCAAAACCAAGTCTTTCACCAATATAATATGCAAAGTATAGGCAGGTCAG